GTTTGTAAATAACTCTGTGACCTTGATTTCAACTCTATTTGCCTCACGGGTCATTTTGACCCGAAGACCATCTTTATACTTTTTTTTGTACAGCTTACATGGAAATGTGAATAAAAGCAACATTTAACTTTTTCTATTGTTTTGGCCAATCTAGGCAAAGTCTTAAAATCTCAAGTTAAAAAAATAACATTTAGGGGATTTTTTGGGGGGTTTTAACACAGTGGCGGGTCATTTTGACCCGAAGACAACAGGAGGGTTAAGAATGAAAAGCAGTAAAGCATTTATCTTAATTTAGAATTTGTCCTTTTGCAAAAGTTAAAGATTCAGGTCTGTGTTTCTAACTTTAACAAAAATCTCTTCTTTATAACGTATTATCAAATGTTACCACCTGGATGATGTAAATTTATATTCTTAGACTTTAAATTGTTTGAAAAAAATATGTTATCAAGATATGCAGTTGCAATGCAAGAAAATGATTTGAAAAATCTGAAATGTTCTTTGAAAATTACCTGGCAGATCAGTTTGATGATACAGTTAAACAGACTGGTAACCTGAAATGCAGCAACTTTGTGTACATGTATGTATTAGGGGTACAACAATACATGTACCCATATCGAACCGTTCAATACTGTGCTTTAGGTTCAATACACACTTGTATCGAACACTACTATTTTTTTTTATTTATTTTATCAGCATGTCTTCTGAAGATGCTCTGTGTTGAAGGATCAGTGGATCTGTGTTCGACTACTCCACCTAGGCTGCATTTTTGCGCAGATCAACTGAGAGACTTGCTGTTTCAGCAACATTTAATTTAAAAACTGTACTTTTGAGATTAAACAAATGTTTATAATTAATTTCAATAAATTACAAGTTAAAAAGGGCATGGATATTTCTCTTTTTTGTATCGAAAAAATATTGAACCGTGAGACAAAATTATTGAATCGATCCGAATCGTGAATTTTCTGTATCGTTGTACTCCTAGTATATATGTATATTAAGGGTGGAATATATATAAAAGGGAAAATGCCCTTTGTGTTATTCAGGTGTGTATTTTTCTTATAAATTTTCATTTGTTTTATTAGGTTGTAAGGTTTGTCAAGAGGTTGACCAAAACCTGGAGAATTTCTCTATAATGTAGGTCACACTCAGGAGAAAAGCTTACTGTGTTGCCACACCAGAGAAAAGCTTTGTCATTTTTATAATTCACCCCATTCTCCAGAGGGAGATGGATTTGCATAATCAAGGTATTCACTGTCAAACCCTTGAAAGCATATCATGTTTATTCGCTGGCCTATTAGTCATTATATGCTAAGACAAAGTACCAAATAAGCTCATCTCTAACAAACAAACCCTTTTTGAGTTTTCCTTTGTCATGGCTCATCACTCAAGTGGCACACCTTTCTCATCAAATTGTACATGCAAAATAATCTACTTACTTTTGCCACAACTGTTTCCAAAGCTTTTCAGCTACAAGGCTGGATGTTTACCACTACAAGAGCTGTACACTTTTTTTTTATTTCATTTCAACATAAATGCACTTGCCTGTGGGCAAAATGAGCTGCTACATCTCACAGCTCTTTTTAAAAAGGAGAGAATAGATATTCCTTGCTCAGTATTTGTGCCTCCCCCACCTCTCCTCGGTACCGGATCCCCACCACATGTAGCTAGTACCACACAGTCTTGGCCAATGCTTGCCTTTTCTGTCAGGAAGAGCGGAGGTAGCCTCATAGATCCCCATTTCAGGCTCCAGGCCAAGACCATGTGTTGAACACGGTGGGCCCCAGGCAGCCATGCACACTGATGACAAATGTGGAAGGCAAGCAGAGAAAAAAGACCCTGAGAATGGGCTGAAGAGATAAGGCCACTTGTGTTTGTTGTGGGAGCAATTTTGTCTTGAATGTTCTGACAGGATTGTTGAGTTTAGTAGAGTTGTATACTTTTCCCATCCATGGGTAGATTTTTCTTTCCAATTGGATAAAGAAGGCCCCATTTTTTCACTGCTTTCTCTTCACCATTAAAATTTCAGCTTCAAAATAAAATTAGCCTTTGGAATTTAATGCCCTTGTTTAACTGTTTGGGCTGTGGGCAAATACGTGCCTGCATACATTCTTTCACTGTGAGTGGAAACTCAGTGACACAACTGTTTAGCAGACTCCTGGCCTTCCATTTCCCACACCCTCAAGTCCCCCTCTGAGATTTCAAGGTCAGGAAAGGGCTTGGGTTGGGATTCATTGCTTGGGAAGCAGAGTCCACGTCTCAGATGGTCTCATGGAGCCAGTCTCTCCTTTTACAGTGCTTGTGGTCATCTAACGGCATCCCGCCAAGTTGGATCTGCCAAGGTGACGTTTGAGTTCCTCAGCGGTTGGCATTTTTATCAGATCAGAAATGACACCGGCGGACTTCTTTGGAGTTAACAGGGAATTGTGGTGTTGTGGCTACTGAAGTTTGACAAAAGTGGAGCCGTTGAAAATCCTGACTGAGCTGCACAGGATACTATCTGTGAGTTGAACTCTGACAGCTGAGCATGCAAGTGTGTGTAGATTTAAGAGGTTGTGTGCGGGGGGGCCTTTAAGGGTTGAGTGGAACAAAAGTTTTGCAGGCAGCTGCCATCCTGCTGCCAGCAGATCATGATCCAAGTGGAAGACGTACACTCACACATGTGCATGAAGGACAGATTGTTGCGCTTGGAGGATCTTACACTGGGCTTGGCAGCTAGTTCTCTCACTTTCAGGTCACAAACACACGTACTGACAATTCCAAAGTTTTCTTTTTTGTGAAATTACCCACGTTAAACACAGACAAACTGAGGAAAACACTAAATGTTTATCACAGGGGAGGCTAAATATAGCTTCAGAATGAGTCACCTTTGATTGAGGTTTAATTACTTTTTGTTTTACTTGCCTAATACAATCATTACACCAATTAGAATAGTTAAAAAATACAAAATATTAACACACAATGATAAATACGTAAATTATGGTAAATTAACTGGATATTCCTTTAAAGATGAGATCAGCTGTCTCCTCATTTGCCATCGTGGACATTGATGAATCGGTGGCAGTTGCTGAAGGCATATTAGGTTAGAGGGTGACCTGGGAGGGGTTTACGGGTAGGAGGAGTTTTGTGTACTTGTGTGACTGTGAGGGTTGGTAGTGACGGCAAGGGGGGATGACAAGAAACATCCAGAGGAGGGGGCCCGAACGACGGTGGTGCGAGGAGCTCGGTGAGAGGGGTAATTTGGGGCGACTGGAGTGAGGCACTCACTAACAGTTGTCATCTCAGCAGTTGAAGCGACACGTGTGCTGCTCAGAGTTGGACCTTTGTTATTATTTTTATTTTTTGTTGTTATTTTTTTACTTCAGGACAACATCTCTATGTTATCTTTAATTTGGACTATCTTGTTTTTGGACTTCTTTCTATTTTTGACGGTAAGATGCACTACAACTATTGGCTTTATTTTTCTACTAATGCAGTTTCTTTTATAGCGGTCACTTCAAGAGAACTGGCTGTTTTGTCAGTGTTGCCCCTGTTCAGGCTAAAATTTTACATTTGTCAACTCCCTTCTGCTTTTGAGCTGTTTTGAAGAGACAGTCTTATAAATATTCCTCTTTCTGACCACTTTAATCAGTCCAAGAAGCCATCAGTGGGGTGCCCTGCTGGCGCCTTTGAGGACTTTACGAGATAGATAACGAGAAGTGTGAGGTGACTTAACTGTCGGGCCTGTTGTACATCGTCAGCCGCCGTGCTGACACCCCACCCCCCCACCCTCAAGTCCATGAAGAGATGATCGAGAGCAGCTAGGGTTTGATTTATGGTGGATAGCTTGTGTTGTGCAGCTCTTAACAGAACACCTGTTGCTTTTTTTTTTTTCTTGAATTCAAGGCGTGCTTGACCAGTAACACGTTGTTGAGGGTGTTGTTACGCTCATATTCTGAACACCTGTTTTATGCACTTTGACAAAGACATAGCCAGGTTTGTGTTTGATGTGGTCACAGTTGTGGCAGCCTTTTTGAATTGGAGTAACTCTCCATTCAAATGTTCTGTAAATGATTAGTTTCTAATAGTTTTTATAAAAAATATTCCTTATTTGTTGAGATATTTTAGGCATTGTTGACTGGAACAGTTAGGATGTTAAGAAGATGAAAGATAAGTTTTTGAGTTGCCACTTTCTTTCACACTGTATTTTTTTTAAAGCAAAATGAACAGAGACTTGTTGGTTTCCAAGCAGCTGCTCAACAGTTGTTTTGAATGGTGTCTTGACAACAAAGCCACTCTGGCTAGATCTTCTGTGGCCAGATTAAAAAATGCCTGTCTGTGCAGAAAGATCCCATTCCTTACAAAAAAAAAAAAAATAAATAAAAGTAATTTATGTGTACAGTTAAGTGCATATGTTTCTGAATGTGTTGCTAGGCCCACGTTTCACACTTAATGATAGATGAAGCTCACAACATATTTGTGACGGACACAATAAATATGCAGGTATTATTGTAGCCAAAACAACAGCATTCCTCCTCCCACTCACCTGCATGCATGAAAATAAACCAGATAATGCTCGAGATAAACAACTATTTTTAAATGTCAGTTGGTTTTCTTGATCTTGCCCGTCTGGCTTTTGTCGTGGCACTTGAGAACGTGTTTGGTCGGTGATGGCAGACTTTTGTACAAGATTCACACCCTTTTTCCTAAAGTGTCACAATGATGTCATTGGTCTTCTGTTTAGAAGATATTTCTGTCTGTCAGAGACCTGATATTATCAGAGATAAGGGAATTAGAAGAGCTGTGAAAACTGTTTATTCTTAAGAAACAGGTCAAAGGTTATTGAACTGATTTGCGTTTGTTTTTATAAAGTGTCAGAAAAGCAGTAAGAGTTAAATTGCGTTAAACACAAGGAAGTACTTTTATAGGGTTAGCATTATATCACCAGATCAAGAATTTATCAACAGCAGGTGTTGTTCCTCGTGACGATCATTAACTTAGTTTATTGAATTCATGAAAAATACCATGGACTTAGCTATATTGTATTTAATTTAACAATAAATAAACAAACAAACAAATAAATAAATAAATCAGCAGCTTTATTGTAAATAGAAAAATAAAAACACTGTAGATACATTTTTATATTGTGGTGAATTGCAGTTTTTATGGCATGGTTTGTCATAACGTATGACTACAAGTACCAACTGCCTCCTAAATACATAAAAAATGTTAGTGAGGTCCCAGCTGGGCACACTTTGTGACACCAATTGCAGTAATTGATAAATGGCAAATATGATCACGATTAACTGCACACAATATGATTTTTCCCAACTCTAACACTGATGCTGATGTGTTACATTGGATAATAGAAAACTAACCTGATTGGTTTTTAAAAGCATCCATTATATTTTAAATGTTATAGCATCCATTTTGACCAAGACAAATACTCTAAAGACTTCATTTTTATTTAAATTTCTAATTTGAAGGGATAGTTTAAAAGGGGATAGGGACACCTACAGTGTAGTTTGTCACCATTTTTTCAACTGAAGTATCTTTATTACTGAGCAAATGCATGTGTGCTGAACATAAGCAGTTATATTTCAGTGGTGCTGAGACTGCAAATGTATCGGCCCGCTGGGAGTTGACTAAACTTTTGACTGACTAGACGCGCTGATCAGATATGATACATTTACAGCTCCAGCACTCAGTTTATGCTCGTAGCACATTCATTTGCATACTAACCTGGACATTGTTTGGTTGAGAAAACAGCAACAAACTAAACAAACAGTGTCCTGAAAAGTTGTAGAGGCTTACATAGTTCTCTTTCACATCGGTTCTGAGGAAACTAAAACTTATTTTAAGTACTGTGTTACTAGGCCTGTGAATAAATCTTCACATTTATTCCGAGCCTCTGGACAAAAGACTTCATTATGTTTCTTTGCGGGTGTTCGTGTGCACTCGCACGCATGGGTGTATAACAGGTATTTCCCGGTATTTTTGTTGCGTTCCTGCCACAGGCTGTGAACACAAACTGTAGATCAGTGACAGTTAGTGCAGCCTGTGGTAAAGATGTGGGTGTGTGGTTTTTTTTTTTTTTTTGTTTGTTTTTTTTGGTCTGTGTGTTTGTCTTCACGTCCATGTTTTGGATTGTGTGTACGTGCTAGGGCAGACCTGTGGTATTGATAGTCTGGCATGACAGTGAGGGCATGATTCACAAGCCAAGAAGCACAGATCCCCTTACCCCTCTCATTTCACCCCCTCCCCCAAAACCACCACCTCCATCACCTCTGAAGTGCTGCCCTTGCAGTGTGTCAGCCCACCTCTCCGAAGTCTCATCCATGATTGGTTAGAAAGAGAAGGGGGATAGAAGAAATCATCTGCCAGGGTTGGCAGCCTCGATGCACAGGCACAATCACAATCCTTAAATGTATGGCCAGCAGCTCCCCTCGTCCATCATTTTTCACGGCGCTTCACCTGATGAAGCTCCTGCCATAGAGTCAACCATTGAGCTTTGTTTGTGTTGCAAAGAAGTCTGCTTGGTGACCTAAAGCCCGAGCGTGGCGTGACCTGTGTCCAATGATCGCCCGGAAACATGAAGCAACAGGCTGTAAATATCACACAGCTGGTGCTGTCAGAACACCCTCAAGGTTGGACTACAAACCGAGCCCCACTGCTTCAGATGAGTGTTTTCAGCTGGCTGGTTAAAAACTCAATACTCCTACTCCTCAACCTCATTCTTATCAGCAGTTTGTGTTATGCCCCAGTCAGGAACAAATCCTTGACAGTTTTCCTTTTTCTTCTTCTTTCTAAACCTAATTCATGGTTTCAGTGCTCGCTGAGAACTAAATCTCTGTAGGAAGTGAATTTAAGAAAACTATTGAAGCATTTTTTTGAAGTCTTAAAAATACAAAGAAAAAAGTTCTGAATCAAAGATGATGTTTGTTAAAGCTGTTCCAAAACAAGAATGTACGTATTCATGGCTTTTTAGTGAAGAAGGTGTTCTGGTGATCATCCTTGGTTTTCACCAACCTTTGACTTTGGTCTTTGGTTAAAACTGACAACACACCCTAGAACCTTAGAAACCTACTGATTTGATTTCACGTGAAGCGTTGTGATAGCATCATTTGTCATCTTGGATTTTTGTCATCATGTCAGACCTGTTTGATTGAACACAAAGTGATGAAACAAAATTGGCGAAGTATTGATCCTGTGATCTGAGGGACAGCTCAGTCATTTTCACACCCTGCTGCAGAGGTCATGACTCCTGCAGCTTCATTCAAACAATTTGTCCTTTTCTTGAAACCTGAAGCTTTGGACTCTAGTGTGAGATGACGTCAGTGATATTTTTTGGCAAGTCCTACCATCTTTTATATCCACTTATTAGATTTCAATGACAGCTAACATGGTTTGTTTATATCTATTTCAAATGATTCAATTTCTTTCAGTAAATGAATACGTTCCAGTTATTCGAAGAGCAACTTTCTGGAGATGGAGTTAAATGATTAAGGCTCACGACTCAGTTCATGTTTGGTGTCATGTGTCTATGAAACTGCATGTCCAATGATTATTTTCTGCCAATTTCATTAAAAATTGTCTAACGTTTCATGAGATATTTTGGTAACACAGTCAATCACTTAGACTTGGGCAAAAACATGATTTCCTATCTTTGGCTTTTGACAACAGGAAGTAATAAAGTAAATAAAGTTATTTCTCTGATGATGTCAGCAACCATTATTTTAGGTTTTACCAGCTCTGCTGTTCTATTGTTCTTAATTTAAATTTGGCCTAAATCCAAAGTTCTGTATTGCTTTAGTGTTATCCCTATATATATA